ATTACAAATACAAATCGGAGTGTGCGTTACTCGTTTCTCGCGAATGACTTAGTCCGAGACAATCGCAACGAGACAATTTATATTTGCGAATGTGACGGAAGCTCACCTAACCGCGCTATGGCATCTCATAAATGAGAAAAAAAGTACAAATGCGAATACAGAAAACTGTTTATAGAAATGTACAAAGGTTATACGACTTGAGGTGATATGCAAAAAAATTATAACGTAAGATCTTTGCAAACATTGAATTTCTAAAAGATAAAAATAATATTCATATATATATATATATATATATATATATATATATATATATATATACATAAAACCGCCTTTCGCCAGCCACGTGAAATTTTGCACCTTCTATCAACAACCTGGGTTTTTGAACTTCAGCACAGATTTTTATATTGTTCCAAATAAAAATCTGAATCAAATTTTGCACAGTTGTGAAAAACTTCAACGAATTTTTTCTATCATGGAAGTCGGATTATATTTTATTTATTTTTTACAGATTTAAATTTATCTAGCAGAATTCACAATCAAAAAATCGATGTGCCTCCAAAGTCCAATTTGACCGAGGAAAGGTTATAAAAAATGATAGTTTTGATATAATAATTGTTTCAAAATGGTACGTTCTTTTAGAGCGTTGTTAAAGACTGTAGTAGATCTTTCTTCGTATGATCGTAAACAGATAGATAATAAATCTTTATAATTATAAAGTTATTTCGGAACTTATTAGCAACGATAGGCTGAACCTGTAAGATGCAATACTTTCAAACTTAATTATTAATCTATATTAACATAAATCCTTAAAAAAATTTTACGAATTGGAGTCTTAAATATACATGAAATTAAAACAGCGACTTTAATCAAGAAAAAGTCTTTTTACTCGGTTATTAAATGTGTTCGAAAAATATATTTGTTTTTTTCACTGCTAGCGTTTCTTAAATAAATAGAACACAATATATATAATTATTAAATAAAAAATATATGTATATATGATTATTGTATTCAGGCAATTTTATGTCGCATGCGATTGATAATATTTTATACAACGTTAACTGAAAATATATTCACTTTGCGAAGTTTATAATTCATTCGAATAATTGAAAATAAACCATCTATGCAAACTACGAGACAGCCGATTGCCATAGCGGAGGTTATAAACTGTTATGATCCTGTGCTATCCTATAACAAGCTTATCTGCGGGGAAGGGTCCCGGTTTTGATATAACGCTTGACCATAACCGCGTAAGCAGAAAAGTACTTCTGCACACGTTTTCACGATGGTATTTATCGCGATATTTCATACAGCGCGGAATATCGCACGCTTTTTTTCCGCTTTGCGGATGTTTCCACCTGAAAATATCCATAGTCCGACGTTACGTTAATATTCGCGTTCGCCGCATTGTATACATTTACTTCCTAAAATTTTTTAACAGGATCCATTAGCGAGTTTGGCGTCAAAATTAATCATTTGAGCGAGCGCGCATGAATCGACAAAGTTGTTCAATTAGTTACTCGCTCATTACTCGGTAAAGTAAGTAAAAACGTTACGTCTATTCGTATTATTTTTTTCTATTAATTTTTTTGTTATATAATAAATTTTTTACATAAAAAATTTCCAAAGTTTCTCAAGTCAAGTTCACCAATTTGCTCTCACAAACATCTAAATCTAGTCTTCAGCTTGCCTCTATGTTAGGTCACAGGAAATTGCTAACTTTCCTAGCAATGCAACTTCGCGTTCCTTCCTGTTGCCATTCGTCCTCAACAAACACGATCGCGCACGAAGCGAAAAACGGATTGGTCTGTCCAGCGCGGTCCGTCATTCTTTTCCACCTATTTTCCTTAAACCCACCGGTCCGCCTTCCGTCTACTGGCCGCATTGTAATTCCGACCGAACAATTTCGCTAGTGGCAAGTCCCTACGTGCCCGGCATGTCAAATTCGACACATAAAACTGCCGTGGAGACAGTAACCGTTCCGGCTTAAAGTATCGTCGGCACGTGTCACCGTCGTCGTCTCCGTCGTCGTCTCCGTTGTCGTCTCCGTCGTCGTCTTCGTCATCGTGTTAGCCGCTTATTGCCGTACTGTGGCTATTACTATGGCAAACGCGAGAACGCCAGTAAATAATTGGTATCGGATGCTCATTAGCTAAATCACCCATCGTCATCACCGAGTCGACTCACGAACGCTGTAGTGTAACAATAAAATACATTAGGTGCAGTACAGGATGTTTCAAGAGAAATAAATAAAACATCTATATATATATATACACACGCGATATATGAGACAGGTTAGTTATTTTTGTTTCAAGGACTACATTTTTTATATACAAAAAGAATGATTTTGCTGAAATATCTAAAAATTTTATTAAATACAGATCTAAAAATAATTTTGTTGGACCATTAAAATAATTTTATAGAAATCTCAAGCATAATGAACAATGTTACGAAAAAATATTATATTATGACAACAAAATATTATATTATTAGTCAACTTGAATGTCCCACATAATTTTGATAGTGTAATAAAAATATTTTCTGATCCGTATCTAGCAAATTTTTAGATAGGTACTTCAGTAAAATCATTCTTTCCAAGTAAATATTATTGTCGTGAATCTTATAGATTGGAAAAAAAGTCGGAATATATTCATCTTGTGAATTGAAAAATGCGGAATTAAGCTTTGAAAAGATTACACATCGTAATCGTCAGCCAATTATAAGTTAACTTTAATAAAGATTTGAAAAATTTAGGAAATACAGGACAAATATAGGACTCTCGTCTTTAATCCTTGAAGAAGAAAAATTGTCTACGTATTTGCTTGCAAGTCTCTGTAGCTAGCAAGAAGTGCATTTAGGGCACCATAAAAACAAATGGCATTTTATTAACAGTAAACGGAGAAAGAAATAACGCGGAAAGTTTATTAGCAGTAATTATTCTCAAATGTCCCATAATAGATCGTTCTCGAACAATAGTTAAGCATTACCCTTAATTAGCTGTTGTCAAGAAAGTAAATTTAATTAAATCGATAAACGCAACTAATTATTCGTTCAACGTTACGTGTCGGAAAGGAAGATATGCTGTTTAACCTTTTCGCCATGATAAGCAACTGATATCAAAAGCTATTTCTGAAAGGTGTACTAAAGTTCAATTGTTTCACGTTTGAATGTACATATAATATAATGCCTCTTTTATCTTATTTTACGTGAAATTTGATTTAGAATTACGAGCTTTAAACTGAATTCAAGAAATTAGTAAATTTGTTATGCAAATAGCCGCATTATTGTTTATAATAAATTATAACGGACAGCATTAAGTAAGTTTTAAAATTAAAGCGTAAAATTAAATGTTAGAACTAACAACTCTCAAATAAATTCTAGCATTTTGCTATCACTGGAACCCCGACGAATTCTGTTACATGCGATATTAATTCGGTATGTCAAAAACTATAACAACATTTCTATTGCAAAAAGTATCTACTATGTAGAACGTACTTTTACAGAAATATATTTCATACGAAAAACGTTCACGAATTATTTTTAAGCGAACGAAAAGTTGAACAAACGTTTATTTCTCTAAAAAAAAGATTGTTGTGCGTAAAAAATAAAAACGTGAAACTTTCTCGCAAAAAAATATATCGTGTCAAGTAATAGTAGAAACTCACAATTAAAGTACAAGAGTATTCCAGCGACGAAAACAAAGATGACGACCAGGAGCACCAACAGGAGCAGCAGTATTGTCGGCCTGCACCAAGGGCTTCTGATTACCTCAGTTTGCCTGCTATCTTTAGCTCGTTTCTGATCAACAACCGCAGATTCTCCGCTAACGTTTACCACGACGCCCTTGTAAGTATATTGGGGCGCTTTCTTGTCCGCCAGGAAGCCATGATCATCCTCGGGATCCGAATAAACTCCGTAAGCCTCAAAATTATTCTTCCTGTATCCGTTCATCTTCTCCGCGCCAGTCTCTTCCTGATCCTGGTGTTTCCTGACATATGCGCCGGAGGAAGATGAGCCCAGCTCGCCAATTTTCAATGTCTGATCATACGACTTGTCCGGGTATCTGGATGACGAGGTGCTCTCATACTTGGCCCTCTCGTAGCTCTTCGAGCTCGTCAGCTCATATTTAGATTCGTAGGTCTTACCACCGCTGCACTCATACGACTGCTCATCATACTTGGGCTCGAAGGTGGGCCTGGATTCGTAGGTCGACTCGTAAGACTTGCTGGTCTCGTACCTGGGCAGAGTGCCATACATTTTGCTGACTGAATGATATTTACTCTCATACTGTCTAGGTGGCGGCTCCTGCTGTGCGGCGCAGGTACCCAAGTCGTAAGCGGAATCGTGAGTCTTCACGCCCGATTCATAACCCTTGGAAGCTGCTGCCTCGTAGATCTTGCCCGGATGAAGATGGTGATGGTGATCTTTTTTAGGCTCCAGCTTCAGCGTTTCTTCGGCGTAACGCGATGCGTATTCGTAGTCAGTTAGGTCGCGCGAGTATCGTCTACTGGGATCCTGAAGCTCTGGATAAGCTCTGCTGAGCTTTTGCGCGTCGTTTCGATCGTAAGGCGCGTCCAGGTCCGATTCCTGGTAGGTGCGCTGATCCACGCGGCGATCGGCACCGTATCTTAACCCGTCCTCCGGATAGATTCTGTTGTCGTATCTCTCGAGGTTCTCCCGCTCGAAACCGACGCCCGCTTTACGATCGTAGTTCCGATATCCCCTTGACTGATCGTGATAGGCCCCCTCGTAGGCCGGCACCGCTGAAGCGGACGATTGGAGGTCTTGATAGGATTTAATTTCTTGGTACTCCAGATAACGGGAGGACCTTCGCTCGCTACCATAGTCCATCGAGCCCTCGACCACGTTAGGCAATTTGCTGCTCAAATTCTCACCGGTTCCGGCGGACAGCGCCTGACAGGTCTCCGCATGCTCGACCAGATTCGGCAGCCGCGACAATGAGCTACCTGGCGTGTTCTCCGTCAGGTCGAGTTTGAGGCCGTTGCTGTTGGTCCTGCGCATTTTCGAGGATTCGCATGATCGTTCCGCGGAATGACCGCGCTACGACCCGTGGACGATAGCAGTAGTCGGAATCTGTCACGCTGATTAGTTAGGAGTGCATTTTTATGTTAGTAGCGGTTTCTTCGCGGGGTTAGTAGGTGAACACTACACCTGGAAGCAAAGAGAGAAAAGGAGGTGTGGTTAGTTTGGTTAGTGAAATTTATATTTCTATAGTTTTAAGCAATGGTAAGGATTTTTAACTTGCTACGTTAGTAAATTAGTAAAATATTTGGAGGATAAACAATTTAATATACAGATATCTTATCTTTTAATGCGATAATTAGTCAGTAATGTAATATATTTATGTGTTAAGTTACTCCATAATATTAATTCATGGTTTCTCCTAATGCGAAAAGTTTTAGTTGGCATTTAATTTAATAATAATAATAACAATAATAATTTTCTTGATCTTTTATAACGGTAAAGCTAGTTGTCGGCATGAATAACCATCTATTAGTGGTTCATTATCGATGCAAGTATCTCTCGATACAACATTCGGGGGAAGAGGAAGGGTAGTCTATAAGCGCTTCTCTAGACTGCGATTGCCCTCCGCATGCTCGGTAGCTCACGAATGGCCGCTATAGGCAATGATGACGATAATACTCGATCGTGCGTGACCGAAATGCGGCTGCATCGCAGTCAATGATAATGCGGCCGTCGAATGTATATCGGACGGAGTTCTCGGAAAATTGAAGTTGCTTAAACACAATGAATAGACGATTGCAACGTTTCAAATTGAGCAAACAATTTCTTCCAAATAAAGATTCGTTTCTTGTTAAGATTTTATCTTCTTTCTCCTTTATTCAGAGTTGTTTTCGTTTCCCAAATAACTTCTACTTTATATCGTTGTACTTCTACTTTCATATCTTTGGTGTTTTTTCAAACACTTGCCAATATAGATGCTAATAATATAAGTTATATATAT